TTTTCAGAATATGTGCTGGTGCCATGTAACCAGTAACTAAAAAGCTAATTCATTGATTTTAGGTAATAAGTCCACTTTTAGCTGCCATCTTGCCTGTACAAAGTGCCTGCAAGGACGAGTATAACTCAACTGTAAAAAGATAATTTGCATAAAACAGAAGTTTTATTTTACAAAAATCTGTCTCGATGAGAATGAATCACCCTGTATCTCAGCACCTGTCAAACTGGGTTCAGTATACCAGGTATGGCAACCAGAAAACCACTAAGTATGCAGAGCAGATAACTGAAGAAATAAGGATAGATGCAAAAGGTACAGTGCCAGCATAGGACCTTGTTACAGAAACTGGATTCATTATGTGATATGTGTGCAATGCATCGGCACACATGCTACTTGAAGCAGCTGTGCATTAGATGCACTTTTAGATAATGAAGACAAGATGTGCATGACAGAAAGGGTAATATTTTAATGTGAAGCTTAACTTATGTGCAAAGGGAAGTTACAGAAATCTTGCCTGATTTAAGTTTTACTTCCCCCAAATTTTGGAAGGAAAATAAAAATATCACAAAATTTGTTCCATGCCTAAAGCTTCTGAATTTATTAAGTTCTCGATGGTCTTAATATTTGCATACTTCCACAAAACAGTTCAAAGAGAGAGAGAGAGAGAGAGAGAGAGCAACTTTAATGGGTCTCCTGCAGTAATCCCTATCATCCCACCCTCTCAGGTGGGTTCTTGGGGCGACGTGGCCGGACGTCTTCTTAGCGGGGAGAGCCGCTCGCGGCGGGCTTCAGCGTACTCGGGTTCACCCTTTCTGCTTCCATCCCGTCCGGTCGCTGCTTCTCGAGTGCCGCTAGGATCTGCTGGACGGCCGTGTGTTGGATGTCGTAGTCTTCGGATCTCTTCGCCTCCTCCATGAGGGGCGGGAGAACGTCTGCACTGTTGTCCGCGTTCGCGCATTCGCAGTCTTCCAGGATGTGGGCCAACGTGGCCCTTTCCTTCCCGCACAGTCTGCATAAGTCTGTTACGTATACCTCCGGCCACAGGTGCTTTGCTAACACTGGGGTTATCACGGAGTTAGTCTGTAACTGGCGGAATACCACCGCCTCCTCCCGCGTCAGACGGGGGTGGGGCAGGGCCATCGTTCTTCTGGCTAACCGGTACCACAGGGTTACCTCGTTCTAAGCGTCCATGGTGTCCTTCTCGGGGCGATCCACCACGTCGGCGGCGGCCGTTACCGGGGCGCGGCCGGCGAGTCCACGCGCCACGGAGTTGGCCGTCTCGTTGTGGTTGGTGAGCCCCAGCGAGCCCGCCACTTCCGCGCCCGCGTGGGCGGGAAACCACTTTATCACCGCACTGGTGATGGCTCCGTTGACTTCGGCCTTTCGCAGGATGCGCGCTGCCGCACTGCACACTCGCTGTTTCGCAAAGTTGCGCACTGCCGTTCGCGAGTCGCACAACACCGTCTTCGTTCTGGGGTCCGCGATGGCGAGGGCTACCGCCACTTCTTCTGCCTGGCTGGGCACAGTGGTCCGCACGCTGGCCGCCATCCTGATCTCACCCGTTTTGGCTCCGATCACGCTGACGCTGAAGGCGTCGCCGATGTTCTTGTAACTGGCCGCGTCCACGAACACGGCTCCCTCATCGCCGGCGTGTAGCGCGATCAGCGCCTTGGCTCTCGCCTCTCTTCTTTCTTGATGGAATGTGGGAGTCATGTTCCGCGGGATTGGGCTCACGACGATGTGCTTGCCCAGCTCCCGCGGTATCTGCTCCTGCATCCGGTGGTCGTCTTCCTTGGCTCCGATGCCTAGTTGTTTAAGGATAGATCTGCCGGTCCTGGTTCCCGACAGTCTGGTGAGCTGCGCCGTCTGCTGTGCCTCGGCGATCTCTTCCAGGCTATTGTGGAGTCCCAGGGCTTCGAGCTTCTGCGTGCTCGTGCATCCTAGGAGTCCTAATGCTGATTTGTAAGCTTTGCGGATCATCGCGTCGATCTTCTTCCGCTCGCACTGCCGCCAATTATGGAAGGCGGCGACGTAGGTGATATGGCTCATCACGAAGGCTTGAATCAGTCTGACGAGCCTTGCTTCCTTCATCCCGCTTCTTCTATTGGCGACGCGGCGTATGAGACGCAGTGCCGTGCCGGTCTTAGCTTCGAGCTTGGAGACCGTTGCCCCGTTGACTTTGCTGCGTTCGATGATCATGCCCAGCACTCTAATCTTGGCTACCTCGGGGATGATGTGCCCCCCTTGTGTTCACCATCAGCTCCGACTTTGCGGGGGAACACACCAGCCCCCATCCCTTCAGTTGGTCCTCTATCGTTTTTACTGCTTCTTGTAGTGTATTCTCTATGTGGCCGTCGCTGCCGCCGGTGACCCACAGCGTCACATCGTCGGCATAAACCGTGTGGCGTACCCCATCGACGCTCCGCAGCCGGTTGGCGACTTCGATCATGACCAAGTTGAAGAGCAGCGGAGAGATTACCGCGCCTTGTGGTGTCCCCTCGCTGCCGAGCGTTTTCTCTGGTAGTTGGAGATCCCCGGCGCAGATGTGAGTCGTGCGGTCGGTCAGGAAATCCCGAATGTAATTGTAAGATCTCTGTCCCATGTTCAGGTGCGACACTTGGGCGAGGATCGCAGAGTGCCGGACTTTGTCGAAGGCGCTCTGCAGGTCCAGGCCCAGTATTGCCCTGTTGTCGCTGGTGTGAGTTTCGTAGTCTACTATCTCCTTCTTGAGTTGGAGCATGGCGTCTTGCGTTCCAAGCTTGCATCGAAAGCCGACGAGAGAATCCGGGTAGAGCTCTGCCTCTTCGAGGTACTGTTGCCATCTGGTCATTAAGATGTGCTCTAGCAGTTTACCCACGCACGATGTTAAGGATATTGGGCGTAGATTCTCGATGTCGGGCGACTTGCCTGGTTTCAGAATGAGGATGGTTTTGGCTTCCTTCCACTGGCGTGGTAGCTTGCCGGCCCTCCAGCATTTATTGAAGTACGCCGTCAGTGCCGTCACGGCCGCGTCGTTCAAGTTTCTGAGCGCTTTGTTGCTGACGCGGTCCGGGCCCGACGCCGAACGCCTGTTCAGGTCTTGCATCGCATTTCGGACCTCCCATTCCTCGATGTCTTGGTCAACCTCGATGTTCTCTGCCCCCTGGTATTCTGGGTGCTTTTCCTTTGGGGAAACCGGGAGGTATTTGGCGTCGAGTCTCCTCTTCACCTCCGGTTCCCCGTGCTCCGCTACCGCCTTGTGTATAATTCTGCTGAGCTTGTACTGTTGTTCTCCCTTGGTCTGGGTGTCGTCGAGGAGGTGCCGGAGCAGTCGCCACGTCTTGCCCAGATGGAGTTGGCCGTCCGCCTCTCTGCACGTTTGCTCCCACTGCTGCCGGCCGAGCTCCTTGCTGTGTTTCTCTATTTCCCTGTTGATTTCCGCGATCTTTTTGCGGAGCCTTCTGTTTGTTCGTTGTTGGTTCCACCTTCTCTTGAGGGCAGTCTTCGCCTCGATGAGGTGGGCCAATCTGCCGTCCATTTCGTGTATGTCTTTGTCCGTTTCTATCTCTGTCGTCACCTCCTCGGTCGTTTCTACTATCGCCTTCGACCACGCTTCTATATCTTCAATGTTACCATGCTGGCTTGGGAGCTGACGCCGAAACTCCTCCCAGTTCGTGTATCTGTGTGTTCGTTTCTCTTGGCTTGCACCGTTCCCCAGCGGGATCCGGATCTCTATGACCATGTGGTCGCTGCCGAAGTCGTGTTTGGTGTTTTTCCACGTTGCGGTGTCGTTCCCATTTATTTCGACGAACGTCAGGTCCGGGGTGGTGTCCCTGGCGACCGAAGTACCCGTTCTTGTGGGGGTCTCCGGGTTCGTGATTAGCGTTAGCCCCGCGTCCGTGGCGTCTTGCAGTAGGTCTCTCCCCTTTTCGGTTGTCTTATCGTATCCCCAGTCGTAGTGTGGTGCGTTAAAGTCACCCCCTATTACGATCGTGCCTTTCTTCGTCGCACGCAGTGCCCTTTGCATGAGCGTGCGGAACTTTTGCTCTCTATGTCTGGGGCTGCTGTACACGTTGACCGCGAGCACGCTGGTTTTCCTCTTCTTCCCAACGATCACCTCCACCGCGCTGCTATCGGTCCAGCCGCCGGTGGTCAGCTCGTGCTCGAGGAATACGATGCCCTTGCGGACGAATGTGCACACCCCGCCTGTTGGTTTGCGTATTCCAAACTTTTTCTTTTTTTTTGTTTAGGGGCTTGGCCGCCTTGGCGTGTGCTCTGTATCCTTGAAGTTGGGGTGTGTCAGTGCATAGTGTTTCCTGAATCATAATGACGTCCGGTTTCCTCTCCATTCCCTGTAGGTGCCGTGTTAGCGTTGCCCTCTTATTGTGATAGCCGTTACAATTCCACTGCCAAATCAGGAGGTCCCTGACCGGCTGCTGGTCTGTTACTGCCCTTTTGTCTGGCTTGGCGTTCGATTTCGCTGTTGGGTTCATAATTGCTGTATTTGGGTGGTGATCTGGGTTTGGGCGTTCTGCACGAATGTCTGCATCTTGGCTTCCATACTCTGCAGGAACGTTTGCATCTGCGTTTGTAGTTGTAGCATTCCTCTTTGTATTTCTCCCAGCGTCATCTCTACCTTGTTGAATTTTTCCTTCATCGAATGTGCAATTTGTTCCCGCTCTTTGTCCATGCGGTCGAGCCTGGCCATGAGCTTTCTCTCTTTGGTATTCTCGATAATCCTCTTTTTGTTGCTGGGCTCCTTTGGCTGTTCCTCGTCACTTTCGATGCTGCTTTTGGTAGCCTCCTTTTCGGCGATGGCTGGTTCCTCCTTCCTCTTAGGTGGCTTTGCTGGGGTTTTCTTCTTCGAGGATGGGCGGGGTATCTGCTCCACCTCTTGCTCCTGTTGCGGGGTCGGCAGTGACAGTGGCGCTTGACTCCCCCTTATTGCTTCTAGTAGTTTGTCGATCCTTGCGTCCATCTTCTCTTCCATCTTCTGTAGTAGCCTTTCGTTGTTTTCGTTGATCATGTCGTATATTTCTCGCCTTGTCACGGGCGGTTCTCCGGTGTTATGGTGGTGGCATGGTGGCTGCTGCTTGCTGCGGGGCGTTTCTTTCGACTTGCTTCCCTTAACTGCAGCCAACCACTTAAGCTTCCCGTCTTCCTGCTGCGACGGCGGCAGGTGTTTTTGCTGGCTCTTGTGTCTTTCGCGGCTGTCGGTGCGCCGTTGGCTTTCGCTGCACTCGCTTTTCTCCCTGCTCGGCAGCTGTGGAAAGTCTGATGACGTCATTGGTGGTCTTGTCTTCTGGAGCTGTTGCTGTTCGCGTTCCTCTCGGCGCTCCCATTGTCTTTTCGTGACGACGAAGGGGACCTTGAACTTGTTCTTGCAAATTCTATCTGCCGTCGGATGCGCTCCTCCACATAGCTTGCAACTTGGCTTGCATGCCTTCTCGTGGTCCGCGTCGGGGTTGGCCTCCCCGCACGCGAAGCGTACTCTGGTCTCCGGGGTTGGACATACGTCGATGCGGTGTCCGACTTTTCCGCAACATCTACACACTTCATGATGTTTCCTGTAAAGCCTGCACTTGAGCAGTGCCGCTCGGTATATTACGTATCGGGGCACTCTCTGTCCTTCAAAGAGGACGATGACCGCTGTAGAATTTCCAATCCTGTGCGCCTCTAGCGCCGTTGGGTTATACTTTGCCACGACCGCCTCATTTATGTCTTCGGGCGAGTCGTCAATTGCGATACCTCTGATGATTCCCTTCGCCGTCCTTTCGGGCGCGGTTCGGTAGGCGGAAACCTCAAATTCCATGTTGCCGAATTCGACGGTCCTGATCTTAGTGTAAATTTCGGCTCTCTGCTCGCTCGGCGTGCTCACGACTAAGATGTTCTGCGCCGCATTGATGCACACCATGTCTTCGCCCTGGTATTCTTTCGCCGTCCCCGCGGCCGCCATAATGGCGTCCGTGACGACCGGCGTCTCGATTCGAGCTACGTTCAGGCCGCCCCTGGGCCTAATCACGATCTTATGGTCGTCTCTGGGGATAGCCGCCGGCATACGGGCTGCTTTCTTGATATTCTCGGTAACTGGCTTTACAAAGTTAACTCTCTCCTTGGGTCTCGACTGCCGTTCCGCGGTTAAAGATGGTCTCTCACCTTGCAGCTCCTTGGCCTTGCGCATTCTTCTACTCGTCGTGGTCCATCCGCTCGACTCGCCGGGTGTCGCGTCGTGGGCTCCTACTTGAACGTACATCTTCCCTTCATCGTTGCCGACTATCGTTGCCTGCAGGCCTTTGGTTGCCGGGCTCTCGCACACCTCCATCGTCGGTGGCGACGCCATCTTATTCGTACTCGTCGGGTAGGCCTAACACCGGGGGCGATCGCCCCGGTGGCCGTACTCGTGCGCTGAGCCTAAGGCCTAGCAACGCTTGCTCGCCTCGAATTTTCGAAGTCCCAAAAGAGGCGAAAATTCACATACCACTTGCGCGATGTTGGTATCGGCTGGTTCCTCGTGCCGTACCGCACACTTTCGTAACAAATAAACTGCAGTTGGCCGGAGCCGATAAACGATAAAAGGCCGTTCCTACCGCTGCCAGCTGAGCACAGCTGGCAGCGGCGCGAGCCCGCCCAGCTCAAAGTTTTCCCAATGAATGGATTAGTGGGAGATATTCTCAACCATCATATTAAAGGAGTCTGGCACCAATCTCAATGTGTCATTAAAAGTGTCCAATTGTCACTGCCAACACTGAAGTGTGATATGCACCACATGCATAATGAGCACTTGCTCGTGCAAACTATGCAATGTTAGAAAGTGTATGGTACAAACATAAATAACAAGGAGCTTAGCTTGTTCAATCATGACACTTGGTCCTTGCATCCTGCTCTGGCTCGTTGGTCAATTGCCTTGCATATGAAGTGGTAACGAGTTGTCATACTTGGTATGCCGTAGTACCTTTACACTTTTTCCCAAGGCATGACGAGTGGCATCAGCTGCATACAAACAACATCTGACAAAGCTGCAAGTAAGTAAAAGTTGTTATAAAACAAGAAAAGAACTGTAAGGAAAACTTAAATAATAACTATTTATTGAGCTATTACGTGAGCACAAAAAGAATAATGAGGTATGTACGTTCTCCACACACATATCAAAATACAATACTTGAGGTATTCTAATAAATATCACAACAAATATAGGCCTAGATGCTAGTAAAAATCCAGAAAAAGATTGAGTCAATAAAAGCCAAACTAAATGAATAATCATTTATTGAACTATTAGGTTAGCACAACAAAATAACCACGTATGTCCTCCATACAAATAACCAAATATATTGTTGTTAAATATCACAGCTTAAGATGATACCAAAAATTATAAGAAAAAACAAAAATAAATACAAATTACCTCAGTACATCACAATGGTTCTTGATAAAATGAATACGTAGAACAGAAGAGCAATCTAGATGCCTTCCGTTTTGAGTGTATACTTTTTGTTCCACCGCAAATGCGACTTTAATTTAGGACCCTAAGGTTGAATAGAAATCAAGCTACACTTCTTTTAGTTTAGGGGTTAAAACTTTAAAACAAGCTACCATCTTTTCCAGACCATAGTCCACGTTGGATAATTCGCAAGGGTAAATTTCGGCTAAAAAAAGTATTTGCTCAGAGAGTCCACACTCGGTGTATAGTCTTCAGGGAAAACTTGAGGCTGGAGAACTCCACAAAAGGTATACCTGCGGATGGATTTCAGGGGATTTTCTGTGACCCGCTCGCCAGCCAATAGGAGAGCTCCTCGAGATTAAGCTTGAGCCAAGTTGGTTGCTTGCGGGCTCCCAAGCAAACAACATGTCAGATACGAGGTATTGAAAGCCTGGAAAGCAGACTGACGGTAAAAGCTTGTCTTGATTACTTTATCCCAGTGTAAAATATCCAAAACACATCAATCTGGCCAAACCAGTTTTGTAATAATAAACAATCTTTAAACAAAATTCTTGTAAAGTCCACACCTGTACATAGACCGTTTGGTGTAAAATATCAACCTTTAGACATGTATAGTTTGTGCACTATAGTCCGGAATATATGGCACATTTCTTGTAGTTTAGAGTTAGAAAGTTAAAAGTTAAAGGGGTGCTGTACTGAAATTTTACTTAACAAAACAAGGCACCAGAAGCACACAGTGGGATGCTACAGACCCCAAAACATCACACATGCAGATGTATCTCAACTGGATGGCTATATTTTCGGAAAAGAAAGGCGTAATTGAGCAAGGCGTGTGACGTCACGATCGACTCTCCCAGAAGGTTCTCGCTTTTTCTCTTCGTGACTTTGCCCCCTCGCCTGCGAATGACCTCAACTGCCCGAATAGTGCGGCGAAGAGGTGAAAGAAGGAGGAGAATACAGATGCCGCAAGCTTTGTTCAATCATGCTCATAGTTTCAAAAATACAGCCATCCGTACAAGATATCGTCATATGAGTTATGTTCTAAGGTTTGCAGCATCCCATCTAGTACTCCTGCCTTGTTTCGTGCCATCCAATCCTCAGTTCAGTATCCCTTTGGTACTATATATATAGAACGGTTGTTTGTCGGCCTCGTTGATTTCACTCTCTTGCGACCTGTTTCAGGAATTTGGCCTCGGGGCAGTGCTGCTGAGGCCGACCAACAATTGTTCTAGTACAACAACTGCGTTTGCTGCCTTTGTCGAATACTTTATAGTAAAAAGTCAGTATGCCGCCATGATGGCACCAATGCCCTCCTCTGCATTCTTCACGGTCAGAAACTGCTGCCTATCGACAGCGAGGTGCAAAAAGCCAGCCCCCTCGGCGTCATTGCCAGAGTACACGATGCACGGTGTTGCCAGGATGTCTTGCTCCTGAGTTGGCAAACAAAATCAGTGCAATTTAATGCAGGAAACATGTCTGATAGTCTTCTCTAAATCATCACAGCTAACATATCACTGTCTATCAGCGAGCTGGTCCAGTGTTATTTGCTATAGTTGCTTGATCTATGCCCCCACCCCCTGCAGGCCTGATTAAGCTTGTACAGAATGAACCTAGACAAGTGGCAGTAAATCCTGCTTTCTTAGCCCTGAAAGATATGCAAGATCATCAGTTTAACAGGGACACCTGCATTATCCCTGCGATTCGGGAAATTCCGACAATGCTAACCAGAAGTCTGGTTCCACACGGAGACGTAAACGTTGCGTAGGCTTGGTCATTGCAAAAAAGCCAGAATCAGTCAACAGGATCCCAGGTTCCCTTTGTGTGACCTTATCTGCAATTGCTTCCCCTCTCATGCACAGATGGGCAAATATATTTTGCTTTAGGTAGTTAGAAATCTTGTGGAAACTACTTTTGGCCGTGATATTCCCAACCTTCAGTGTGTCATAAAAGACAGCCACTGGATTTTGTACGTTTCTAGAAAAGTGTGCCGTGCAGTGAATAGAAAGCTTGCTTGTCGAAGTTGTAGTCAAAATTGTGAAGCAGTGCCATCAGCGCCTTATTGGCTCCCCCGAGACCATGCGACTCCTAAACATCACCCCGAACTGCATAACTTTGCTCAACTCAGATCTTGATGGAGGCAAAACTAGGTACAAACATGGAACATGGCTCTATCTGTTTTTTATTTCTTTATTTATTATTACTACTGTCTCCTATTTCAGGAGACGTGGTAGGAGTGGTTTACAACATATGGGTACACAAAAACAATAATATTAAAAAAAAACAGCAGGTAACAAGCACAAGGATATTCCTTCTAGCTGATCCAAAAACACACAAACAGCGTTATACAAAGACTATATTCATCGCAAAAAAATTAATAAATGAGCATCAGATACAAGAATCACAAAAATCTCGGAGTTTATTAAAGAAGGAGGACTCTGGTGATGCTGTTATTATATCGCCTGGCAGGGAGTTCCAGTCGTGAACAGTCCTTGGGAAAAAAGAGTACTTAAATGCATTAATCCGACAGTTGAATTCTTTGAGCGTTTTGCAATGATAACTTCGCATGGGATAATCTTGAGGTGCGGGTGAAATATATTTAGAGATATCGATTCTGAACCGGTTGTTTAATAAATCAAATAGAAACTTTATTCTCGTAAACATGCGTCTATGCTTTAGTAAGTTCACTCCAGAAAGGGCGTACAGTTCAGAGACGGGATATTTTCGCTGGAATTCATTACGAATGAAGCGTAAACGTTTTCTTTGAACATTTTCGAGGACGTTTATGTTGGTACTTGTAAACGGATCCCAAACCACCGAAGCGTATTCTAGGATGGGTAATATGAAAGTTTTATAGGCTGTCAATTTAACGTCGGAAGAGGCATGTTTTAAATTTCATGTTAAGTACCATAACTTGGATTGTGCTTTGCGGGCAGTAGACATGATATGAGTGTTCCAGCGTAGGTCATTCGATATAATGACACCCAAGTAACTTCGGCTAGTGAAGTACTATTAATGGAATAATCGAAAGAAAGATGACTTAATTTACAAGTTATATGCATTCGAACACACTTCTTGACATTCAATGACATCTGCCACGAGTCGCACCAGTGCGCCATATTGGACAAGCAGGTGTTTAATAGAATCTGGTCACTTATTTCATTGACTTCTGTAAATAAAACCACATCGTCTGCAAACAGTCGAACACGTACTGGAATATTAGCGGTTAAATCGTTCATAAAAATTGAGAACAGTAATGGCCCCAGGACCGACCCTTGCGGAACACCCGATAAAACAGGGACTAATGATGATTCACTCGAGTTGATCTGTACATACTGCTTTCTGTCCTGTAAGTAGTTCTCGAGCCAGCGAAAGATACCTTCGTTTTGAACAATTGATTTAAGTTTAAGGAGAAGTTTACTATGTGATACTCTATCAAAAGCTTTAGAAAGATCTAGAAATATGACGTCAATTTGTTTGGATCGATTCAGGAGATTTGCGAAATCATGGACTGTTTCAAGTAACTGAGTCGTAGTAGAAAGGCCATGACGGAAACCATGTTGATTTGAAAAGAAAAAAACATCTTTTTCTAAGTAACTTGCGAGGTGTTTAAAAACAAGATGTTCTAGCAGTTTCGAACAGTAAGGAAGTAATGAAAGAGGCCTATAGTTTACCGGAAGTAGCAGGGAGCCAGTTTTATGAACGGGAATTACTTTTGCATATTTCCACTCAGCAGGAATGACAGATTCTGTTAAAGACCTTTGAAAAATAAGGTAAAGATATTTCGAGCACCACTCAGCGTAGCGAATCAAAAATGAATTTGGAATACCGTCAGCACCAATTGCTTTCTTGGCTGGAAGATTAAGCAGAGCTGAGAATATTCCTTCTATAGAGATAATGATATCAGGTAACGTTGATAAAGTGGACAGCTGATCCAAACAAGGCGCGCTGCCGTTATCCGTAGTGAAGACAGACGCAAAATATTCGTTAAAACCATCTGCGATAGCGCTATCATCTTCTACCAGATTGTCTGAAACGAAAAGCGTGGAAATCTTTTTTCGGGCCGGCGATAATGCCCTCCAGAATTTATCAGGCGATTCTTTCAAAAATGTTTGCAGAGTGACACTATTGAATCGAAACTTGGCGAGGCGAATCATTGCTTTAAGTTGTCTTCTCATTTCAGAGATAGGTAAAAATTTGTTGCACTTCCTAACACGATTAATTCTCCGTTTTAAGTGCAGAATTTCACGAGTTATCCACGGGTTATGCTTGCGTGCAACTTTAGTGCTCATCGGAACAAAACGGCGTAAACATTCAAGCACAACCTCCTTAAAAAAGCCGTAAAGAAGGTCAATAGAGCAACCGTCCGAACACATTTAAAAACGTGTCAAGGGAAAGTTCCAGCGCGTCAATAATGGACTCATCCTCAGCTTTAGAGGAATTAAAAATAAGCTTGTGATTCTGTTTACATCGTGATTGTTTAGTTCCAGAAGTTGAAATTTCAACCACCACCATCAGATGATCAGAAATACCTTCAACTACGTTGCACTCATAGTTCCGTGCCGCAATCGCGTCGGATATGAACACAAGGTCGAGTGTGGAATTAGAGGACGCAGTAATACATGTAGGGCCATTTACAATTTGAAGTAGATTATTATTGAACGCTATGTCAATTACTAGGGAAGTATTGGGACGGTTCGTGGAATTGCTACTGAGTGATTCCCAATCAACTGAAGGCAAATTAAAATCGCCAGCCGTCAAAAAGAGCGGATGTTTTTGTTTAATTTTGTGAACAAAATCCGTAAGCACTTCAAGAAAGGACGGATATGCATTCGGAGGTCGGTAAACGACACCTATAACGATTGCAGGAGTAAAACTAGTTAATTTTAGCCACAGTGACTCAACTTCAGAAACTTCATCAAGTACTACAAAATTTAAATGATTTTTTAAGATTATGGCAACGCCACCGACACGAGATTTTCGGTCATTCCGAAGTATGCTACATGAAGGAGGAATTATCTCGGAATTTGCGATTGCCTCGTGTAACCATGTCTTCGTCACGGTGACAACATCAGGATCATAGTCATGTAGCGCGCATTCAAGATCAACAACTTTATTTACAAGACTTCTAGCGTTTACATTTATCAGTTTTAACTTGTTTGAACAAAAATCGTCATGTCACGGTGACAAATTACCTTCATCAGACTCTCGTGTTTTGTTTGGTCTAGAAACACAAACTCTGGTATCGTTTGCAGCGTTCCATTCATAAATAAGACCGTTAATCTTCATTTTATTATATAGAAGGGTGACTTTATCTCCCTGTTCCCTGTTCTGGGCTGCGCTGTCCCATAACTGTTTGCGAAGTAGCCGGACTGGCTTGGAGTAGCCATCGGAAACAGAAATTCCGGTATTTTTTTAGTTTCCGAGCATTTTTGAAGATACTCATTTTTTCATTGAAATCACGAAGGTTCAGGCGGACAGGCCGTGGCTTAGTCCCCCTACTGTAACCCAGTCTGTGTATCCTTTCAATGGAGGTAACGGTTACATCCAGCATGCCATCGAAAACGTCAGTGCAAACATTTTGCTTTAGTTAAACAGGGTTCTCCCGGGGGTCTTCGGGTATACCGTAAACAATTACATTATTGCGTCGGCTACGGTTTTCAAGGTCATCAACCTTCTTTTCCATTTGTGAAATTGCTGACGTCAAGTGGGAAACGGTGCTAGATAACTTAGACATTTTAGTTTCGTAATTTTCAAAAGATTTTGCCGTGCCTCTGACCTCGTCAATGGTCGCTTCGATAGTAGATAGCCGCTTGTTAATGCCATTAAACGACTCCTTTAGGCTTAGTTGTTCCTTCCGCATCTCCTTTATGTTCTTGGCAACGTCCTTCTGACTTTTTAGGATCTCCTGTATGGCTTCCGTATTTGGGCCGGAGTTAGTTTCAACGTCCCCGATAAGAGTAACAACAACTGCACTGAATGAACACAATCCGCGAGGATACAGGAATGTGCCGGGGCATGGCAGCAATATGAGACAGACATCGTTACTTCTGAATTCATCGTAATCCATATACGTTATACTAACCTGCGTGATCAGGAAGAACAGTTTAGCCGTCATGCTCCGTGTTGTGCTGCCATGCCCACTGGCGAGATCTTGTGGGAGCGAGGCTTTTGTAGGCGAAGGCGCTGGTATCGGGAATGAAGGTGACGTCACGAAGCCACGTGGTCCGGGCACATCCTGGTGATAGAAGAATGCTGACGCAAGGTCTTGACGCCGCACTTGTGAAGTTGAACACGGGCCAGATGCAGGATCGCGTCCAGCGAGTATCAGCAACAGCTGCGTGATCAGGAAGAACAGTTTAGCCGTCATGCTCAGTGTTGTGCTGCCATGCCCACAAACTAGCACCTTTCTTGCACTGTTGTGCAAGAAAGGTGCTAGTTTGTAATGTACCACAGGCTTGCTGCCGTTAAAAAAAAGAAAACGAGAGCTTTAAGTAGATGGATACATTCGCAATTGCATATGTGCACCAATGTTGCCTAAACAGTTGCTTAGAAAGATTGTGCACAAGGGAATTCACAAAAATGCTAGGTTACATTCTGCAACCTATGCTAAGAAGGATTGTTGAGAGCTTACCTTTTGATCCAACAAACAGATGTGACAGTGGCATGATTTTCTTGACATTGTGACCCACGATCATTGTAGCCGCTACTGCCAAGATGTCTGAAAAATAGTAGCACTGTTCCAGCATAAGGTTAGTGGAAATTCTCTGCAGTTCTCATGCACTTGGCACCGTGGAGGGCACCAAGTGTATGAAAACTAGGGTATTGCACACCCATATGCAGTGCACAGTGATGTGATTGGCCTAAGCCGTTTTGGAGCACCTTTTGGAGCAGCCAAAATAGTGTTTTGGAGCAGCAAAAATGGCCTTTGGAGCAGCCAGAACAGTGTTTTGGAGCAGCCAGAACAGTGTTTTGGAGCAGCAAAAGTGGCTTTTGGAGCAGCCAAAACAGTGTTTCAAAGCAGCAAAAAGTGGCTTTTGGAGCAGATATTTTAATAAAAATAAAAAATATTTCTTTTAAGTGCTGGACAGAGGAAGGGCACTTGCTCGCCACAATAAGCAAATTATGGTCAAGTTAGACGACCTGGGAGTCATTCAAGTTGTTAACTGAAATGTCAATGACACAACATATTTTGCGATGCTTCAGTTAAATGACAAATATATATATGTAGCCACTATAGATAAATAAGAACCAAATTGCACATATTAAATTTATTTGAAAATGACGAGCTTAGCAGTAAATATGAAAGCATAAACTTCACTAGTTATATAATATAATAAATTGAAGCAGTATCCAACTGATGAAACACGTAACTACTGCAATACAATACGAAACTGTACACATAAAAAAGGTGCAGTACGACTGGTGGGTGCTTTTCCTTTTGCTTGTTGAAACTTTCTGCAAGGCTGCTGCAAGCCTCGCTTAGCTTTGGGCAAGTAATGAATGTCCACTTTCAATGTCTCCAAAGAGACGTTGAGACATCCCACAAGTGTACAGTGCTGTAGGCGTTGCCGAGCTATTCCAAAACGTCACACACCGTTTTACTGGTTCCCGACATGCCAGATTTTCGTCAGAAGCAAGCAAATGTAAAGCAATGGATTGCAAGCGTCCCGGCTGGTGCCTCTGTCGTGCAATCATGTTCGCATGCACGTGAGGGCAACTTCGGTAGCTTGCAGTTGCACGCGCTTCGTTATGCAAACGGAGACTGCTGTTCGATCGAAACCGAAACTCTGCCACTCCGCTCAGTCGCCATCTGGTCCCCAAAATTGTATGCAAAATGTAACAATCCAGCATAAAAAAAAAGAAAAACAGTCCAGCGGCGCGTGCTTGGCAGGCCAGTATGCGAGGCACAAGCTAATTTAAAGGGTTAAAAAGCGCAAACAAAACAAGGACAATAAAGCTAATAAAAAAACAAAAAAAACATGAGCGCATCAATGCAAGACATCGCGAGTCAGGGTCAAAAAGTTCTTGGAGCGCTTTGTGCAACAACTGAACTCAAGATAAACAAGCGGGCTGTGTGGGTTCAGCGTGCAGACATTGCTTTTTTTTTTTTTTTTTTTTTGCTTTAGCTAATTTGTCTTAAACTTTCGTTTGCGACAGACTTTTCACATACCGGGGTCCCTCTCAAAAGAAATCCCACCGAGAGAAACCTAGGTAAACAGTACTTCGACACAACAGTCTTCGAGCTAAAGGGATTTTTGGAGTAGCGTTTATTTAAACAAGGACAGGATTGCTGATTATCCTGCAGCGGTCCTTACGTGTCATTTTAGAAAGCGCCATATCTGCAGCAATGTGTGGACGGGAACACCCGACGTCATAACCACGGTGACTGGTAGGCAGAGACCAAAAATAGTTGTGCCACGGCCGTTTCTTTCAGAAGCGAGTGCTTCAGATCACAAGTAACTCCCAATGCGCAAAAACGTGGTTTCGTTTTACAACACGACGGCAAGGCTGGTACTCGGCAAGCTAGCGTCGGGGCGTCCATATACGCCTGCATCTATCGTTAAAATATTTCAAGAGGATGCGAGACGAGACCCACGAGAGCGCGAAATGAGGAACGGCGGGAAAAACCATGCGAGACCGGATGGACGATTGATGCAGCATACTTTCTGTCGGGCGGTCGCTTGCGCCACCTAGCTCACGCATGCTCAATTACGGTACTCAGTTTAGTTTCGGTTTTGAAAGACGACCGAAATTGGTCCTTTGGCGCAGGCTTGGCGCAGATTACCCAAATTTCGGCGGAATGTAGCAGGATGTAGCAGGGTTAGGCCCTTGGCGCAGTTTGGCGCAATTGGCGCAGCAATCACATCACTGAGTGCATAACCTGAAAGGGCAAATACACAGGAAGTTTCTTTTTGCAAGTCTACTGTGATATGTACAGTTGTCCCCATTGGTCACCCATTGGAGGGTGAACACGCACTTTCGTTCGATCATGATCACCAGCTGCTCTAACGGATGCCAACACGAATGAAGGTCACGGAGAGTTTTTCTCTCCTGCACAATCGCTAACTTTTAAGGCGCCTTCACACGTTTGCATCGACCTCACTGTGTCGTGTCGCGTCGCGTTGCACTACACGTCGCCTCCCCATTGGCTCGTTGCTAAGGTGGCCATGGCAAGCCGTGTAAAGATCTCGGCACAGGCGGACAGCACAATCAAACGCTAATGCCTGAACTAACTCTTATTCTCGTTGAAGTCGCTTCAAGGGGGAGGTAGGGGCGATCAAATGATTCAGAGTGTTCTATCTCATATTGAGGACAACTGCACATGGTCACAGTAGACAGACCTAGCATGCTCTATAATGGAAACGTTGTGTGCCACTGACCGACTTTCTTCAACTGCACACAAACAAAAGAATAGCAAAACTCCTTTGTTTTTGTAGCTCTAGAACTCCCTGCACGCCATGAAATTAAAACTACAGGCGACCAAGGCAGAATCACTTATTACTTGCAACAAAGTCATAAAGTCGTTATGGTTTAGTATACTTGCTGTTTCCACTGATATTGGCACCTGCTTTAGTGGTTCTATGAGGTATGTTTGCACTGAAAAATATATACACTGTGAAGCTCTGGGTCCTATAATTATGATTTTAACAGAATGCTTGTTGAAAAGGTGATGTCCTTGAGTCAGTGTCACTACCAAGACTGATGAATCGGATGGCACTGTTCTTATGAGCAAACTTGGTCTGAAAATATGTTTTGCACTCATACAGAAAAGCGTATAAGGCAGAGAAATGGCAGTACTTTTTTATGTCCTACAGCTTTTGTCGTTATAAAATAGAAAAATGAAGCATAAATTTATGGTAACAAATACCCAAGTCTGAGGGACACAAAAAGGGACTCTGGCTTTTATTACCATGAATCACGACAGCTAGCTTGTGTTTTTAAGTATTGCTGTGGTTACGCATAACTTGTTGCAAAAAAATATCTGTACAAATGCTATATGGGTGGTTTCATTTGAAATCTAACACGCTTGTCAGGGTGGGTCTTTCGATGTTTATTTAAAAACATATGTGATTGCCCCATTCCTGGAAATAACAAAACCGCTTTTGAAAACTTTTTGAAAAAATATTTTGTATCACAAAAAATACTCAGTGGAGTAGGGTGAAAATTTGTTTTTTACTCCGTGATTTTTCTACCCCGTTCTGTACGCTAGTATGAATACGGGAAGCATACAAAACTCAGTAATTTTTTGTGCTCTTGTATGCTCTCTCGACTAGGTTTTAGTTAAAAAAATAGTTTGGCATTTTTGTTTATTGAGCTAAAAAAATTCCAAATATTGTCTCTCTGTCGATCCGGTGGCATCTTCAGAGCCTTATAACTTATGAGTTATTATATTTATCGCATACAAAATACTATGCGGGTGTAGTCCTATACAGGGGCTATCGACTTGCATAAGTTTAGTTTATTTTATTATCACTAAATGTTTTATATAACATTTGAAATATCGTCGAAAATGAAATTAACCAATATTTTGAACTCACTTTATCGAAAAAGGTCATTTTTTATTTCATTCAATTTTTTTTTATAATTGCTGCCGATCATATGAACTTTCCATTGGCTTGATGCGATTTCCCCCGTTTTTTGCTGCATCTTCTCTAAAAGTGATGGAAATCGCTCCCACTTTCTCGGAACGGCCAAACGCAGTTTCGGCAAGTTGGCTTTCCTGCAAAGACTATACTGCTTATTTTTGTGTTCAAATGCAGCGGGTAAATTAAGTTTGGTTGAGAACACTCGTGCTGGGATACATATTGTATTTTCTTAATTTTGTAATGATGGGAACTGACATTCCTTGGTCCGACCGTTAGCGGAGCAGTGGATGTTCCATTATTCGATGTCTAAAGCCAGGGCACAAAGGGCAAAAATGCCAAAGCATTTTTCTTTAAGTAGGGGTGCAACAATTTCCGGACTTCGGTCAAAGATTTCTGGAAGTTGCCCTCTGACACTTCTGAAGCAAAAAACAGAAAACCGATTTCGCCTGCATGTCCTAATTGTTGGGTAAAAAAAAAAAAAAAGATAATATTGGCATTTCGGGCACCCCTCAACTCACTCCCAGCATTCAGGGTCACACCCGCTGCCCCTCCTAGTGACCTCATTCGGATTGCCGTGTAGGTTCCCGTGTGCTATCTCGGAGACGCTTCCTCTTCCTCTCTCTGCTAAGATTAGCGGGCGTTATGCTGCAGCTTAGAGCCGAGCGAGGTCACGTAATCTTTTCGCCGTAGTTCCTTCGGCTGCCACTTGGGGCTGCAGGTGGGGGAAAAAGCTCGACTTTGGCTTTGCGATTATGCAGCGGAATCGAGATATTTTTAATGAAGGAGGTGCTTTCTCTATCCTCCGGGACACGATAAACAGCGTCAAAATGACGAGATGCAAATTCTTTTAATAACAAAATCGTTGCACCGCCCCTTTAAACTAAAAAATAGTCGAAAGAACATACAAGAGCACGAATAATTACTGCGAGTTTTGTATGCTTTCCATTCATACCAGCGTACAGAACTGGGTAGAAAAATCACGGAGTAAAAAACAGATTTTCATCCTGCTCCGCTCAATATGTTTTTGTGAAACAAAATATTTTTTGAAAAAATATTGAAACGCGGTTTTGTTCTTTTCAGAAACGGGGCAATCACATATAATTTTTAAATAAAAATCGAAAAACGCACCCCGACAAGCGTGTTTGATTTCAAATGAAACCACCCAAATACAAGAGAATGAAACAAAGGGCCAGTAAACGCTGACAGACGAGACGAGCATAAAGAAGTAAAGTTCAGATTGTACAATATGCTTGCAAAGCGCATTTCTAGAC